GGCAAGGGGCGGTGGGCTTGAAGCCCCTCCCAGTGAGCCCTCTTTTGATTGGCTCCCCTCATCTCCACTTGTCTTCCAGGGTGTTTTTAGTTACCCCTCCTCCTAGTGTACATGGGCCACAGTGGATTGGGCTGTCCTCCTCAGCAGTGCCCTTCCATCCTCCTCACTAGATTCCTCACTGCCCTTGGGGCTCCTCAGGCTGGGGGATGGTCAGGCTCCCCACCCCCCCCACCTTTTCCTGGTATCTTGGTGTCTGTCACTACTGGTATGGGATCTAGGGGCAGTGTCAGGAGGGGAAATTCTCACTCTGTTCCTACTGTGAGTGTGTCTCTGTGTTTAAGAGGGTTTGATGGTATGCATGCTGGGGTGCTGGGCATGCAGAATGTTTGGGGGAGGAAGCTACTCTCTGGCCCATTCAGGGTGGTTACGAGAAGGAGACAGAAGGGGCGGGGAGCTGGTCATCCATCATCTCCCCATGAGAGCAGAGCAGGGTAGTTTTGTGAAACCAGGCTTGTGTGTGCACAAATGCATGCATGTGCATATGCACGAACGTGCACATACGCTCACACACACTCACATTCATCCCTAGAGACCACACTCACATAGACATGCTGGGTACCTCAGGTTTTCTCCCAGGCAGTCTACCTGTGAGCTGCTGTCAGGTAAATTTCCCAGTAAACCCCTTTATGGAGGACCTCTTCTTACTTCAGGAAAAAACTTTCTCTTCTATAACGACCCCACAGCTGATGGGGTGAAGGTCAGACTCCCAGCTATCATTTAGGGCTTTCTCTGATCTAGTCTTCAAACTGCCTTGCAGTCTTGTTGTCACAATCCCCCAAAGGGAGCATCTCCCCAGGAAGGTGGGTCATGGGCGTTCCATTTCCCCCTCCTGCCTGGATGGCCAGGGCAGTGCTCTTCCCACTCATCTGATGGTTTAGACCCACCCCCTCCAGGAGGCCTCTGTGACTGCCCCAGCTGATAGCAACTTCTTCCTTAGCAGGTGGTCCTTGGCATTTGGAGGGTAAGTCTTTCTGCAGGGGGTGGTGAGAGCACCCTGTCTCCCTACCTCTGAGTCTTCTAAGGCAAGGCCTGTATTTATTCATGTTTATTCCTTGGTGCCTAACATGGTGCCTGGCATCTATATAGGTAAATGGCTGAGAACCTGGCTCTAGGGAAGAGCATCCTTCTAAAGTGGATCAAATCCAAGCTCCGACTCTTTTGGCCACATGACCCTGAGCAAGCTGCTTCCCCTCTCTGGGCATGTTTCCTAATTGCATTGTGAGAAGGTTTGGACTTCCCTACTCTGAGATTTTGTGTCTCTGTGGTAAGGATGAAGACAAATGCTCAATTGTAGACATATGAATAGGTAGCCTCTTTTAACCTCCCAATTGGGAGACTGGAGGTGGAAACTAGATCAATGGCATTGAACTTCAGTTTGGAGAGGTCCCATCTCAGGGAGAAAGCAGGTTGGTGTCAGGTCTAGACAAATCCAAAGCAATCTTGAGCTGCTTCTTTTACCTCTTACACCCTTAGTTTACTCACACAAAAGTGGGATTAGTGTTACAGGCTTCTTTCAGACTTTAGAAAAGGGCATGTAGGTGGGAGCTTACTTCATGCACAAGGTACTCACGTGGAGTGTTATTGTGGAAATAGTGTCTGGACCCCCTCCTTTCCCAGCCCCCCTCTTGTGGGTTGTGCTCTGTTTCTTGTCCTCTTGATAACTGCCCGGGAGGACCCCTACTCACCTCCTCTCAAATCAGCCCAAGTAGCTTGGCATCCGGGCCTACAGGGAGTCCGTGATCAGCAGCCTGCTGGGAGGTCTGGTTGCTTCTTAGACCGCCTCAGAAAGCTTCTAGTCAGTGCCCTGGTGGAGTCTCCTCAGCAACTGCTGCTGCTATGGCAGGAATCACAGCTTTCCCCCCCCCCCCCAGGTTCCCATATTCCTGCCTCCTCTGTCTCTAAGACATCCTGCCTTCCATTCCTGACCCTGACCTCTAGTCTCTCCCAGCCTGAGAATTGTCCCCCTTGCCTCATCACCCTTCTCTGGGAATACTGAGGCTGGAATTCCAAGAGAGCAGGAAAATTCCTCTGAAGTGTGAGGAAGAGGAGGGGTCTTGAGTGAAGAGAGACCCCTGTCTTACTTTCCAACCACTGGCTCCTCTTCATTTTCCCACATTGCCCCTGGAAGAGGGTGATGGAGGCCCCAGAGTGTATCCCCAAATCACTGAGTCCCAGGTGCCCTTAGAGGTAGGAAACTTCCTTTGCAGGGAGCCGAAGGGGAACTGGTGCATGTTCAGGGCACTCTGGTCCCAACTTCCAGCCCCTACCCCGCTTGTGATCTCCAAGGACCTTGGACGCACCCAGACACAGTTCATGGTGTGGGAGGTTTATTCCCTCCAATGCCTCAGCCCTGGACTCTGGAGAGGAGAGGGGAAGGAAGGACTGTGGGAAAATCAAGGGAGAGGAAGCCAAGCTGAGTCTTGGAAGGAGGTGGGGATGGTTGACTGTTCCCCTCCTTAGAGTAGCTGGGAGGACCCAGTGAAATGTAAGCCTTCATCCTAGGGAGGACCCTCGAAGACAAGCAGAGGACCCAAGATGCGAAATTGAGGTCAGAGAAGGGTCAGTAGTTTACTGGGGGCTGAAGTGGCTGAAGTGGGAGCTGGAGAGATCCCAAAGTAGAAAGTGCTAAAGTCAGGGCTCAGGGAGGTGGGGTTTGGCTATGTGTATGAGTATCTAGGTCACTGTGAGTAGGTGGGAGGCCCCTGGAAACTGGAGCTGAGCCACAAGTTTCTTATTTATGATGGATGGGTCTGGCTTTTGCTTACAGAAGCCCAGAGATGGAAAAGGGTTGGATAAAATCACACAGCATTTGCTTAGCACCAGGGGCTGGCTAGTCTGGCCTGGCTTTCTCTTGTTCTTATTTTCCAGGCCATTGTTGATGTGACTTGAAAAACATATGTATTCCCCATCTCTGAGATCTCCCATGCTCCCTCCAACTCTCTTCTCCCTAAATAGTTGTATGTGAACTTTGACCCCAGGAATCTGCTTTGCGGGGAGGACTTTGGGAAAACATGATCCAGACTCGTAAAGAACTCCCAACAGCTTGCAAACGACCTGTGTTAAATTGCCCCTTCAAGTGAAAATTAAAGCAAATGTCTGTTTTATGGTCATGTTTTCTTGGGCTGCAGCTATGGCAGGAGTGTAGGCAGCTCTGAGTTGGGAAGTGGGGAAACAGTGGAGGCAAGTCAGGGTGGGACACCTGGGCAGGCAGAACAGCCCTGTGCCCCGGGGCCCTCTGCTGCGTTCCCCTGCACCCCTCTTCTCTACCCCTTGTCTGTGTAGGGACTGTGTCAAAATAATCCTACCCCAGGAAGTCTTTCTAGAGGTCTTTCTTCCATCTCCATGAGGCTTTGGAGATACCTATCTTTCTGGGTGACAGTGGTGGAAGCCCTGAGACCGTTCTGGCCTGGGACTGTGACAGGGTTTCTCTGACAGGCCTCTGGGGTTGCTGCTGGGAAGAGGAAGGAGAGGCCATGGCTCACACTCCAGACCACCTCCTACCCTTGGCCTTGCACTGTTTTCTCCAGATCTAGTCCACCTTTGAAGGTTGGGATTTTTGGGGGGAGGGGTACTGGGGATTGAACTCAGGGGTACTTGACCACTGAGCCACCTCCCCAGCCCTATTTTATATTTTATTTAGAGACAGGGTCTCACTGAGTTGTTTAGCGCTTCGCTGTTGCTGAGGCTGACTGTGAATTCACCATCCTCCTGTCTCAGCCTCCCAAGCTGCTGGGATTACAGGTGTGCACCACCATGCCCGGCAGGTCGGGATGCTGAGAGGTTTGAGGAGAGGTTCTAAGTCCCTACTCCTAATAAAATAATAAGGAACAAGGAAACCACTGTCCTACTCTAATCACTTCATTGTACAAATGAAGAAACTAAGGCCTAGAAGGGATGCCTCAGGGAAGACCCTTTTATTGGGTGGAAGGAAATCTGGGTTCTGATTCTGCCTAAATCACTTTCCCTCTGTGGGCCTTAGTTTCCTCATGTATAAAACAAATGTTCAGATTCCATGATCATCAAAGGTTCTTTTCAGTCTGTGAAACCTTAGATAAATAAGTTCATAGTAAGGATAATAAGAGCCCATGTTTTTTTGACTCCTAGGATGTGATCGGTCCTAATTTCATGCACTTTTTCTTTCTTTTTTTACTTTTAGCAAATACGATCCACCAGAATCTCTCTCTCCCCCCCCTTGTTTTTAGTTGTTGATGGACCTTTATTTAATTTATTTATTCATATGCGGTGCTGAGAATTGAACCCAGTGCCTCCCACATGCTTGGCCAGTGCTCTACCACTGAGCTACAACCCCAGCCCCCTGTCATGCATTTTCCATGGGTGATCCCATTTAAAACTCAACAACTTTGAAATGTCTTTATTCCTATGAGGAAACTAAGGCAGAGAGATTAAATAACTTGGCCAAACTCCTTGAATGGCAAGGGCAGCATTTGAACCCAGGTAGTCCCTCTCCAGGGTCTGGGCACTTAGTCACTACCCTTGTGAGATCTAGATCCAGGTTACCCAGTCAGAAATTGGGAGCCCAGCCCTGCTACCCGTGGGTCAGTTCTCCTTCCTCTGAGCTGGGCTACCTGCCCAGCCAGGATAGTGCTGGCTTCAGGCTCTCTGGAGGAAAAACACCATGCTCAGCAGGCACCTTGCAGAAGAGGGCTTTAGGCCAGAACAGGGCTTCTGGAAGGAGGCCCGGAAAGGTGACGAGCTTTTGTTAAAAGGGACTCCCGGAAGCTCTGAGGGTTCTTCATCAGAGTAGCAAGTGCACGGTGTTATATAAAATCCCTTCCTGGCCCCTCACACAGTGGCCTGCTCCCTTCAGAGACCTTGTGCTGGCCCGGCTGGACTGGCCCAGTCTGCAAAGCCTCTCAGGGATGACTCCTGCCACCCAATGCCACAGATATACAGTGTTCCTTCCTCCCTGGTTATTCCAGTCTCTTCTTCCAGGCTTCACTGTTAGAACTTGATGTTGGATCTGGCTTCCTCCTCAGAAGACAATTTATGGCGATATGTCGAAGACTCTGTTTTAATGAAGTTGCAAAAGTAGGTTAATGGGCTGTGGGTGTTTTTCATTCCCCTCCCCCTGCCCCATCTCCACCCCTGGGCGGATGAATGATGCGTCTTCCAGCAGGATGCAAAGTCGGGCTGAGGATCTCGGGCCTGGACTCATCAGCTCACATATTCCTTCCTTGGCCTCCCACTCAGCTCCTCAGCACCATTCCTCCCTGCTGCTGAGAAGGTGCTCGGAATATCTAGCCCCAGTCCCTCCTGCTGTAGCTGTGACCCAAGATGCTCCAAAGTCTTCCTAGAGAGAGGAGCAGGGCATTTTTGAATGGCAGGGGGCAGGTATTGGGACCCAAGGGAAGAAGGAAGCTGGAATTAGGGAGAATGCATTTCTCTTGGGTTGGAGCGGCAGGGAGTTAGAAGCTTACCCAGCCAGGATTCAGAGAACACACCTCCAGGTGTGTCACTGCCTCTAGTTTGTATGCATTTTCTGATACCATGCCTGAGACAGAGCTGTCCTTATAATGTTTGCTAGGGGAATGATGGATATGGGGGTGAAGGACTTTTCCCCTACTCGAGGTCCCTAGGGTTGGAACTCACCGTCATCTTACTCACCTCTGAAGTGGCCCTCAGCCCGTATCTGCTTGTCTCCAGGCTGCCCACCTCTCTGCTAATCCTTGCTTCGCACTTCTGTCTTTCAGGAAGTTATCCAAGCTGCAAGAAGAGTTCACCATTTGCTTTCCTGGGTCCAAGATGAAGCTCTGTTATACCTGAAAGTGTGGGGGTCTCTGGGGAGAGGGGTCTGTATCTTTTCCTCCTGAATTTACTCCTGCTCCTACAACAGCCAGGGCTGGGCTTTCACAATGGGGTAGGGTTGTTTTTGGAGACACACACCCAGGAAGACTGCTGGGGACTTCAGGAGGTCCCTCTGCCTGGCCCTTCCTCCCTCCAGAAAGCCAGAAGCATGCGTATTTTCTGACACGCAATCACTCCCAAGGCAGTAAGGATCCCTCTCCATCCCCAGCCCCTCATCACCAATGAACTAAGGCTGTTGGCCAGGACTCAGGACAGGAACACCAAGACAGGGTGGAGCATGGCCTTGCTACCCTGAAACTCCACATTCCTGTGGGAGCCTGGGCCCCTCTCTCTTTCCCTCCAAGCCCTTAAAAAAAAAAAAGAAAGCTCTAGAGCTGGAGTTGTAGCTCAGTGGTAGAGCACTTACCTTAGCATGTGGGAGGAACTGGGTTCGGATCTCCACACTGCATGTAAGTAAATAAAATAAAAGTCATTGACAACTAAGAAAAACTAAACCAAAAATGTTTAAAAAAAAAGCTCTACCTTTTTTCTTTTTCTTTTTCTTTCTTCTTCTTTTTTTAAAACTGCTATAGCTACCTCATCACTGGGCCCAGGCAGTAGCACAGGCCTGTGGCCTTTTGGAGTAACTCTCTAGAAACCCTGCAGCAAAGTCCAGAAACCCCACTGTGATCCCCAGGCCAACTCTATAGGAATGCCCAGAATTCTACAGTGGCATCGAGAATTGACTATGACACCCCCAAAGCCCCAGAACTCCCAGGACAGATAGTGCTACAATGTCACCCCAAACCACTCAGGAACCTCAACATAGTTCCCTGTGGAAGCATCTAAAGCTTCTCACACTGTTTTTCACGCCTCAGGCAGGGTGTTCTCTGACTCCAAAGCCCTCATTGGCCTTTCCTCTCCACTGAGTGTTGCCATGGTAGCAGGAGAAGGGAGTACACAGGACACGCATGTGGCTTGGTGGAACATGGAGCCTTCAATCGGGGTTTGGTAGAGAACCCAGTTGCCTGCCACTGTGTCAGAATGTCCAAGAGCTCAAGCAGGAATTGGCTGAGGCTAGTTTTATTTAGAGATGGGTGCACACATGAGGATAGGCCTTCTCTTTTGTTGGCCCAGCTGAGGGCTCCCCTCTCCTAAAATACTGAAGACAAGAAGCTGGAGGAGGGCAGGTTAAATGGTTCCTAAGGGTCCAGCGAGGCTGAGAAGCCATGAATATTTTGCATCTGAAATAGGAACCTTGGACCTTCTGTGGAAAATTCCACTGAGGAAGGGGAGACAGGACTCCTGGGTTCCCGTAGTCACGCATGAACAGATCTGTCTGGGGTCTGAGTCTGGTAGAGGAGGGAGTAGGAATGGAGATGGTGGGAAGGGTGGAGAGTTAGGACATGGCTGTTCAGAGGAAGGAGACAGGTCCATGCCCCTTAGTCTGATGAGAGAGAAGAGTCAGTCAGGTTGCTTCCAGGACCCTGAGTTAGGAATAGCTGGAGGGGGTTGTTCAGTGAAGGGAGAAACAAGGGAAAGTGGAACCCAGATTTTCAAATCAGGCAGGGCTTCATGGAGGAGGAGAGCAGGCAGCAGTACTGGGAGAGAGTTAAGGAACAGAATGGGAAGGGCTCTGTGCGTGGACTCTATGGCTTTTTGGGGGGTGAAGAGTCAGTGCTCCAGGCCAAGCTGGGAGGTCTACCTGTGGCGTAAACAGGTGGTGCTCCCTGGCTGTGCAGTCCTGAGGAGGAGGGGTAAGTGTGAACCTGGATTCAGGTTAGGGACCCCAATCCACACACTCTTCTAGTGTTTTCCTCCTCTAATCTCTAAAGGTGGGGCAAAAGCACCAAGCATCTCTGATTCTTTTTTTTTTTTTTTTTGAGAAAGAATTTTTAACATTTATTTTTTAGTTCTCGGCGGACACAACATCTTTGTTGGTATGTGGTGCTGAGGATCGAACCCGGGCCGCACGCATGCCAGGCGAGCGCGCTACCGCTGAGCCACATCTCCAGCCCCAGCATCTCTGATTCTTAACAAAGGTTCCCTGGCAGATGAGAAAACCACTTGGGAGGGGGCCACTTAATTTAGGCTCATGATTTAATGGATCCAAACCCTGTCAGCCCCTCCCTGTGTACCACAGTCAAATACTGCTAGGGCTGGGACAGCATTCCCACCCCAGCTCTGCCATCAGCCAGTCCCTTTGACAGGTCTCAGTTTCCCCTACAAAATGAGGGGAGTTGTACAGATGGGTCTCCAGGACCCTGTCCTCCATCTGATAGGTTTCTCATTTTCAAGATCCTTACAAGTGTCAAATGAGACAATGAGCCCTGAGAGGCTTTGTCAATGTGCTTTCAATGTGTGGGTTGGCCGGGGAAGGTGCTTTGAGATGGGCCATGGGCCATCTCTCTGACCTCAGAGCCCTGGCAGGGGACGAGGGAGCCCGGCTCCAGTGTATCCCAACCCCTTACCACAGCCTCACCCACAAAGGCACCATTCCCTTCCCCCTTGTAGGCCCACCCTCAGGCTCTGGGGACCAGGCGCTGCTCAGAATGGGGGGTGGGACTCCCCGAGGTAGGGGCAGAGGGGGTGGGAGCCTCCCTCCCGAGTGGCTCTGAGCTGGAGTACAGCAATTACGCGGGAGGATTTATGTCCCTTTGCCTTTAATCGGAAACTCCGTGTCAAGAAGAAAAATCTGCACTGTCCTCCGGCCCGGCTTCCTGCTTTATCATTATTATTGGAGGAAGGTTGATTTGGAAACTTAAAGAAAAGTGGGGTTGGGGGTGGGAGCCACCGGGGAAGGGGAAGTGTGGGGCAGAAGGGTGGCCTTCCTACTGTTTGTCCTGGTTGGTCATTAAGGAGGCAAGAGCAGGAAGGTGCTGGGGGTCCTGGAGGGCAGGTGGGACGAAATGAGGGGGACACTAGGGAAGGGTTAGAGTGGGGGAGCTGGAAGGAAGGAATATCCAGGAACTAGGGGGCTACTAGGAGAGGGGCATCATGGGCAAACATAGGGGACAATTGGGCTGAAGAGACCTAGGGAAAAGACAAGGAGGGGACATGGTGGAGGGAAGGGGCACAGGGACTCTCTAGGCAGTGAGGGAGAGGGTGGAGCAACCTGAGGGGACAGACAGGGGCCTCAGGGGATGCTGTGGGAGAGAGGGAGGGTGTAGGCGTGTGGGTTGAGGGGTGCAGGAGGGCTGGGGGGTCAAGAAAGAAAGAGGCATCCAGCAGCTGGCTGGAGAAGGAGGGTGACCAGAAGGTATAGGTAGCCAGTGCTTGGTTTGTGCAGAGCTGGACAGGGACCATGCAACTATGGCCGTCATAGTTCGTATCTGTTCCCCTGAAGTCCCTCTTCTCTTGGTCACCCAGGACCCATGCTTCCTGGGTTCCCGGGCGGAGGGGCTCAGGCCTCTCACACAGCCCCAGGGTTTTGCTTTCCACTTTAAGAACTGTTTCTTGGGTAATTTGGTAGAGCGGTTGGGAATATGCTGTGGGACCCCCTTGACTCTCGGGCCCTTAGAGGCCTGGAGCAGAAGTGTCAGGGACAGAGAAAGGCCTGCACTCTGGGAGGGGTGGACCCCAGGGAGAAGGCATTCTTCAGCCCTCTGCCCCATGTGGAAGCCCCTGGTTATTCTTCCAGTTGCCGGGATTTCATTCTGATGTGTGGTAAGGCACCAGTTCTGGGATCAGGCTGGTACAAATCCCGTCTCTGGAGCTGACAGCCTGTGTACACCTCTCTGAACCTGGGGTTTGGCATCCACAACATAACGACAGTTAATATCTACACAGCAGGGTGTTGAAGGATGAGGGATAATTAGGTGAAGTATCAGCATAGAGTAGGCTTTCCAAATACGCCCTGCCCATCTGAGGGCAGCACCCAGTATATACAACCTCTCTACTTTTTCTTTGTGTTTCTTCATCTAATCCTCATGACAACTTAATGCAGGAGCCTGGGTAGATGTCTTTATCCTCGTGTTGGTGATGGGAAGCATGGTACAGAGTGGTTGAGAGACTTGCCTAAGACTACACAGCATGTCACTGGAGCAAGAAGTTGAGACAGTTCCATAATACCACCTGCTGGGCATTAGATCTTCTTCTGGGTCTCCTTCCTTCATCCTTACCAGAGCCCCACATCTAGTGCTGGGATCCAGCGTCTGCTTTTGGATGCTCAGTGAAGTGGCTCAGCTTCCAATCCTCCTGCAGCCTGGGCTGTGCCTACCCTCATGCACCTCCTCCCCAGCTCCACTAAGASGTTTATGGCCGTTTATGAGCAATTTCTGTCCATATATCACCGGAGATATATAGCCAGGCAAATATTAGGGACCCAAGCGGAGGTTTTAAGAGGTGAATTTTATTGCTGCTGAAAGAAAGCATGATAGACAGCCTGCGGAGACCCACCTTCCCTTGTGCTCAGTGGTGGCCGGGCGGTGGCAGCATGGGCTGGGGCTCAGCAGCGAAAACCTGTCTGTGAAGCTTGAGCACTGTGCCAGCACCCAGGGGTGCCTGGTGGATGGAAATTTGCAATGGGTGAGTCTCTGTTTCTCAAAGAGCCACATGAGTAGGTGTGGGGGACACAGGAGGTCAGAGGGCATGGGCTAGTTCGGTCCGAATACCCCCTCCAGCTTGGGCAGGAAGGGTTAGACCCGCAGGAACACGGATTGAAGTGAGACACGCTTAGGAAAGACTCCTCTGCACAGGCCATGGGAACAGACTGTGAGATTTCTTTGGCTGGAAGTCCTTAAAAACCAGATCTGGGTTGGAGCTCAGTGGTAGAGCGCTTGCCTAGTTAGTATACAAGAGGCCCTGGGTTCAGTCCCCAGGCCTGCAAAAAACACCTAACTCACTCAACAACAAAAAACTAGATTGACCAAGAAGACCACCTGCCCCGAGGCAGAGGGCTGGACAGTATGACTCCCTGTGCTCTTGAGCCCCTGCCCCAGGTGGTGCTGGAGGAACCCCCGGGGAGAAGGTCATCCTTGACCTTTTTTGGGGTTCTATCCTGGGTGCCTAGCTCTTGTGCCTCCTGCCTTCTGTGGGCTGCTGGGCATGGGTGAGTGGCAGGAGGGTGAGGAGAGCCTTCTTGGCTTGTAGCATATGGAGAGAAGATGTCCCGGGGAATCCTCACTCCTGATTTAAGCAGCTCCGACAGCTTTATGGTGCCTCCTTGAGTGAGCCCCCAACGTTGGCCGTTTAACTTTTTAGCGTCGTTTAATGCTTAGACTCTGGCGGACAGGCAGGCCTCTCGGCCCCAGAGGCAGCAGCACTAAATCAGGACACTCTGAGGCCCCAATAAATAATTTTTACAGGGCACGCAGCCCATAGATCACCAGTGGGGGTGGGGGGAGAGTGGCTGTGATATTTCAACCATTGTCATATGTGACTACCCTGTGCTCTGACTCCAGGTTGTCCACATGGCAGCCGGCTTCATCACCACAGTTGATTTGGGGTCCTTTGCTGAGGGTAGGGCAGGGGAAGGGGAGATGGTACCTCCACAGCCCCAGCCAGTAGAGAACCCGTGGCCTCCCATGGCCCGGAAGTAATGCGTGTCTACTCAACTCGCTCCCGGCCAAAGAGATCAATGTGGCCTTTCCTGTTCTCCTGACCTCCTCTGGAACCTGAGGAAGTTCAAGTAAGAGGAAGCCTGTGCCTGGATGCAGGGCGGCACTAGACCCGGCCTGCTAAGGCCCGAGGTAAGTAGGAAATGGGCCCTTTCCTTAGGCCACTTATGCTTCTAGAGCAAAAGACAGGGGTGCAGAGACACAGAGGGAGGGATTGGGAGTGTGGATGGAGACGGAGGAAGTGAAGGGACAGGCCTGGTCACGAGAGGGACCAAAAAATGAAGACGAAAAGACATAGGCAGAAAGACTGTCACCCCCGTCAGGGGAGCCAGGCAGGGTTTGTGGCACAGGAGGAGGCCTTTCCCTAAAGCCTGGTACCAAGCAGAGAAACAGCAGGACCCGCAAGCCTGGGGCCTGTGTCCACGCAGGCCTGCCCACCCGAGCCCTTCCACGGCTCCAGGCCTGTGTTTCCCTGCACCAGCTCCACACTGCCCCCTCCCCTTCCCCTCAGTGCCCTTGCCCTGTCCCCTCATCTGTAAGGTCCTGGGATTTGCAGGGACACTTAATCCATATGGAGCTGATTCATTCCCATCTAAATCATCTCCACGAGCTTCCCTAAGAGCCCTCTGATGTGCCAGCCTCCATTCCTCTCCCTGGGCGAGGGTGGGCTGGGGGCTGCCAGTAAACAAACCTCAGCCGCCATCCATCCATCCTAGCCTCGTCCATCAGTCCCGCCAAGACCATTCATCTCTCCTGCCTTGGTCCCCCTACTCCTCCAATCCCTCCATCTACCCATCTGTCTCTTCCTGTGTTCCCTCCTCTTCACACCCATTGACTGGAGACTCCTCCTCCCCATTGACTGGAGACTCCTCCTCCCCTCTGTTCCAGGTAGGATCTGGGGGAGCAGGGGGGGCATCTCAGCTACTCTGATGCCTTCAGACAGGAGTCTTACCTTAATTCTGGCTCAGCAAGGTGAGGGTGCTCCTCGTTCATTGCCTCCCAAGAAGAGAATCCTTCAAGTTGGATGATTTTTCTATACAGTATTGATGCCCTATGGAAGTTCTTTCTTCTGTCTAGCTTGTGTGCTTGACATTCACATAGGATTGCCTGCCTGAATGAGAATGAGGCAAGATTACAAAGTTCTATTCAAGCATGAGAGTCTCCAAGATTTGTAATATGTGCCTTTATGGGTTAATGGGTTGTGTGAGGTGGAAGCCCAGGGAGATGTTCTCCTTCCATCTCCTCCAGCAGAGTCCAGCCCAGTGCCAAGCACTGGGTGCTCAATGTCAATGGCTTCTGAGCCATATCTCCAGACCTATTTTGTATTTTATTTAGAGACAGGATCTCACTGAGTTGCTTAGCACCTTGCTTTTGCTGAGGTTGGCTTTGAACTTATGATCCTCCCGCCTCAGCCTCCTGAGCTGCTGGGATTACAGGTGAGATGTCTCTTACTTCTGCCTAATTTTTTCCCCGTTTTTTTTTTTTGCAGTGCTGGGGATGGAGTCCAAGGTCTCAAGCTACATGCCCAGGCCCCACTCAAACATCTAACCCAGACCTGCAGGTAGAGATTGTCCAAATAACTCTGTCTTGGTAACTGTGGGGTTGGGGGGAAGGGGGGAGGAGGAGGAGGAGGAAGAGGAGGAGGAGGAGTACTGATGGGGGCCTTCCATGGTTCTTTGGGGGAAACTATTTACATACAGGAATATGAAGAGGATGCAGAGGGCACTGCTGTCCCCAGTCCCAGCCTCATTCGTTCTGGCCCTTCCCCTCTCAGCTCTTCATCTCAGCTCAGGAAAAGCGATTCTGAGCATGGGCTGGGAGACTGCTAGCCCCTCAGGAGAGGAGCCAGGAGCAGTTCTGGCCTCACCTCAGCTTCCTGTGCACAGCATCCTCAGGAGCCGTGGTCAGGCCTGCCTCTGGGGTGGAGACTTGCATCAGACTCTGGTACCCTGCAGTGGGTGGGGGAGAGATTGGCACCCATGGTGGAGGTGAAGTCACAAGGAGGGATGAGACAGTTGTAGCAGGTGTGTCCACCTGGATTCTACGGTATGGCGAAGTGGAGAGGTGGGTGAGAGGGAGGAGGAACAGGAGCCAGCTGGTGCCTGGCCACTGGCCATTTCCTCCCTGAGACCGAGGACCCCTTGCTGAGGATCCACCCCTCTCCCAGTCCAAACCCCACTGCAGGAATTTTCCCGGCTCCCCACACCTTCTGCCCTCAACGTTGGTCCCCTCCAGGGAGTCACCCTGAGTGCACAGGCTAGGTGGGGCTCTTCCAGCTGCTCTCCAGCTGTGAGGATCCCTTACATGCCCACCCCCTAAAGAGAAGGCTCTCATCCTTCTCAGAAAGATGAGAAGGGTGGGGTGGGGGAGAGGGGCTGGAGGGGCTCACCACTTGCCCCAGTGTGTGAACATATGTGCGGGAGGGAGGGGCCTGCAGGTGGCAAGGCCCAGCTTAAGAGTGATGGAGTGTTTCTTAGCTCTTTGAGCTAGAGACATATGGGGTATTAAGACCAGGCAAATGAGAAATGATGGCCTAGGAGAGAGGACATGGGGGAATAAGAAAAAATTCGAGCCAGTGAGCCCCATCGCCATACACCCCCATCTCCATCATGACCTGACCCCTCTGTGCCGGGCTGGATTAAATTCTGTGGGGAGGGAGAGGCTTGAGAACTGTCCCTCAGGGCCCCCTGAGAAAAACTGTCCCTAAATGTGCTACACAGAGCAGAGGGAGCTGGGGACAGTTGTTCCAATCCTACAGGTGGAACAACCACATGGAGGTTTTCTCACCTCTTCTCTCCATCCTTCCACCCACTCTGGCTCCAGCCCTCCCTTCCGTCTACTCCAAGAGGGCACAGTGCCTTTTTCCCCCTGGCTTGTTTCTTATGGCTCCTCCCAGTGTCTTGTGCCACTCAGTGTCTTCCAACCTCTGCCTCCTTGGAAATTTCTCTTCTTGCAACAAGCACCCCAGGCTGCTGCTTCTCCCCATGCAGGTCCCTCCCCGGCACAAAGTCCACTTACGCAAACTTGAGGCTGAGGAAAGTCCTCCAGGATCATTCATGGGCTCATGCCTTGGACCAGTAAGGGCTGGGGTCCATCTGTCCTCTAGTGCTCGGCATCCATCTATCCATTTTAGGCTGTGACTCCCACGTGGAGGCAAGAAGCCAAGTGCTTATGGGGTCACCAGCACAGCTCCAGGAGCAACCTGATTTTTTTTTTCTTTTTAATCTAGGTGACTCCAGAAGGCCTTTGAGGGATTGCTAGAGGCCTGAGAGGATCCCTGAGTGGGACTAACACCACAGCCGCCTCAGGCTACAGCACACAATGACAGAGGCTGGACAGCAGAACTGAAGTCTCTTAAAGTTGAAAGAAAGATTTCCAGGGTTTCACTGAAGCCCTTGAGGGGACATGACCTTGACCTTTTGAAGCTCTGAGGGAGCAGACAGTCATAAAAGTTCACTTCTGTCCTTGAGAGACTGTCCTGGAAGAGGGACGGTCACTTGCTTTTTCAAGAACCCTGACTCATCCACTTTGGGTCCAATTCCTTTCACAATTTCTTAGATAATTTTTGTATCTTGGCCAGAAATTTGATTCTTGAACTCCCTTTCCTATTCCCATGATTTAGGAACCACTATGGGGAACTAACTCCAGCTGTATCTTATGAAACCAGAGGAACAGAGATGTAGGGCCATTTTTGGACAGCAACACAGCAAGCCAGCAAGCTAGTGGGAATTCCCTGTTCGGGATTCTTCTCTCTTCTTTGGATGTTAAGGGAAAGGATGTGACCTGGGGGAAAGGGTGGGGTTGCCGAGAGCTGGAAGAACTCCCCCTCCCAAGCAGCCCAGATCCAAATGTGCACATGATGGAAATGTCTTCACAGCCAAGGGCCCCTCCCTCCCAGTGAGAAAATCCCACAACTGGGGAACATCTGGATCAAACCGCAGCCATGAAAGCACAACATCAAACGAGGGGTTTCTGAGCGACCCTCCCCACAGGCCCTGGTCCAAGAGAAATTGCAGATCTTCCTGCTTGAAGCTTTTAAGTGTCACAGAACCCCTCAAATTTGGGATCATTCCGTATTGGCGGGAGACAGATGTCCCTGAGTGAGCATGGTTGGGTTTGATTACCCCCAGCAGGAGAGGGTGTGCGTGTGACCGATCTGGGCCAAGCTGGGGCGGGGGTAGCTGGGGATTTAAAGCTGTGATGAGGGGCTCCAGCAGTCAGCAGTTCAGGCGGGGCGGGGGTCGTAGGGAGCTAGGGGACAGGTGGGCCTTTTAAAACGTGCCTACATCAAAGGGTTGAATCCGCTCTCTTCCCAGTTTCAGAGCCTCTGGGGGAGGAAAGGGGTGATTTCACCACATAACTGCACGTAGGGCGGATCTCAGTCTGAGAACTTCTGGGGAATGTGCAGAGGGAGGGAGGGTGCTCCCCAGAGAGGAGGAAAGGGCAAGGGGGTTTCTCATTTCCAAAATAGCTTACACAGGCCAAGGAAAATGGGGCCATATGCTGCCTCCCTCCTGCTCTGCACCCTGTGGAGGAGACTTGGAGGGGAGGGTGCATTCTTTCAAAATGGGGGAGGTGGAGCAGCTGCAGCAGGGCTGGGAGGGAGCTGGGTGGAGAACTGGGGTAGGGGGAAACAGGGGCATCCTCCCCAAGGGCGGGAAAGAGGAAGGCTTCAGAGTATGAGAATTCTGGGATTAGGATGCTCTTTCCTCCCCATTCCCCACTTCTGTCAAGCCTTGGGAATCATAGAGCTCCTAGGCATCATGCTGGCAGGAGGGATGCACTGTAGGGTCTGATGGGGCAGGGAGGCAGCCTAGATCATAGCAGGAGACAGAGAGTGGGCTGGATGTTGACACCCCACTGTGACCTTGGTTTAAGAAGCCAGTGGCAGCTGGCACGTGGGGCACACCTGTAATCCCAGCAGCTTGGGAGGCTGAGGCAGGAGGATTGCAAGTTCAAGACCAGCCTCAGCAACTTAGTAAGGCCCTAAGGAACTTAGTGAGACCCCATCTCAAAATAAAAAAATAAAAAGGGCTGGTGATATGGCTCAGTGGTGCCACTGGGTTCAATCTGTTGTATCAAAGAAAAAGCCAATGTTTTTTCTTGGGGTGGAAATTCAGTTGGATATGGCATGGGAGAAGAAGAATCATTTGCATGATTTTGCTTAGTTTACATACCTGCTTTACAGGAAGCTGTTTCTGACTCTTTTCTTTTCCCATCCCCAACAGAGGCTTAGGTGTGTACATGGTGCCCCATGATGCCCTGAGTGTATCTAGTATTGGCTCTTCCCATGTTGCACTATAAGGATTAACTTGTGGTTTCTTCCCCATCTAGGCTGGCAGAGCATTGAAGGTGTGGCTTTCTTTGTATTCCTAGGGCCCGGCCCAGTGCCTGACAGAGAGTCGGTATTCAGTAATGCTACCCTGCTGTAGCTGGAGCCCATTTTTCTTCCATGACGGATACTGATATAAAGAACAACCCTTGCAACGATTCTTCAGCAGCATGCAGGCAATGGACCTTCAGCCTTTCCAAAGCCACCAGGGCCGCTCCTATCTGACCTCCTCTTGGAGTCTTTTGCGAGGACCCAAGTTAACGGCACTTTCTCTTGCCTCTGGAGCTTATTTTTCATAAAGCTCACCTTTATGGTCAGATTTCTTCTTCTTATTTTAAAATCTGGAGTGGATGTGTCTTGTTTTTGTCACCTGAGACCAGATGCTTCTTGGGGCCAGACTTCCCCTGCTTCATATGGTGCCCGCATGAAGGAGGAGTTTCGTCAGGGTTGGTTGGCTGTGGACTGGCTGACCCTCTCCTCCAGGTGCTAGTGCTGTCTTAGCTTCGTGTGGAGCTCTTGTGGCTGAGCTTCTATGACCTGCTGAATCAGTGATGTCCAACTTAATGGGGTGAGTAGGAGCTTCTGTCTAGTAAGGTAAGGACACAGGGATTTTAAGGGCTCTGCAAGCTGAGAGAATCAGTGCTCAAGGGGGTGTGGTGGAGATTGCAAGGTCAATAGGTTTTGTACAGAGACTTTGGGAAAGAGGTTGAGGATTGAGAGAAGGGAAAGGAAGGGAGAGGGGGAGGAGGCAGAGGACATTCAGGTGAATAGGCTTGACAGATGGCAAGGAGGTAAAACAGGCTTGCCAGCTGGTGAGGACCCAAGTGAGAGTCTGGCGGGCCTGGTGTCTAGGAGGGAACAGGAAAATTGTAAGCATTTGTTCTGCACTCAGGGTTGTACCCAATCCTCCATCACCCGCTCCCCCCCTCCCCAGACTCTGGGATGGCTGAGGTCTGAGGTCCCACTCTGATTTCTAGGCCCAGCCTGACCTGTGCCCTGGCAGCATCGCCCCACACCATGCTTGGAACAGAACAGCCTTGCTTCATATCCTGGGGTCCTCTTGAAGCTGGAGTTGCCTTTGAAGTGGATGAAGAGAAGATTGGTGAGCTGTGGGCTGAGCCCAGATCTCCTAGCTGCCAATGAGGTAAGGAGGATCTCTTTGAGCCCTTTTTAGGGGCTGAGGTGTTGACACCTTAGTTGTCAAAACTTGGGTTTTTCATCCTGGAGGGATGAGTGAGGCTGACTGGATCACCAGGCCTCTCTGGGTGGCAGGATGGTAGCCTTGCTCAGCTCTGGGAACACCAATCATTGCATTCCTGGAGCACAACTCTAGGTGGTGCCATTCACATAGAATTTCCTGTGTGCAAGATGCCCCTTCTCCCTCCAGAGATGTGAGATAGCAGGCAGCCTTAATATCCTTTTTCTTCCCCACTAATGTCCTTTTGAGACCAGGGTTCTGTTCGTAAGCTCAAACAGGCAACCTGAGAACTAGCAGCATTCAAATGAGGCTTTGCCCGGAGACATAGAGATGGGCAAAATAATCTCCAAAACTAAGTCCTCATCAGTGGCCACCAGAAAACGGAACAGCTGGTCCTTGGAGTGGTGTACAGTCTTAGATTAAATTAGCAGTGATTCAAAATAACAAAGTCTATCCATGGGGAAAGGAAAAGTGTCTTAAAATTCCTAGGTGGGGCAGGATAAGTCATAGGTAAGTACGAGTGGAGCTAATATGAGGTCCAGCAGACCAGTCTACCGTCAAGCCTCTAGGTTTGAGGTTCTGAGAAGTAGGCTTGGCCACGTGGGTCACACTTGTGCATGGGAATTTGTTGAAACAGAAACGGGATCCTGACCCAGATGGGGGTTAGGAATTTGTTTCCTTTCCTTTTTCTCCTTCTTAGGAAAGCTTAGTTCATTGTTTAGGATGAAAAATAACAACCAGATGAATGAAAGGAGGATCATCAGGAACAATAAATAATATGCTCCAGATGTGGCCATAGTGAGCCGTGACTGAAGGAGTACCTCCCAGTAGTCACCTAGAGGGGAGCTCCCCTCCTTGGAGCAAGGCTGCAGCGACACAAGGTTGCAGTTCCTCCTTTGACATTGCCTTCAGGGTGTGTGGCTTTTATTTATTTATTTTTATGTGGTGCTCAGAATCGAACCCAGTGCCTCACACATGCCAGGCAGGTGCTCTACCGCGTAGCCCCGGCCCCAGCCCCTCTAAAGTCCATTTTTAAAGAAGACCTTGCAGAAATGTTTTAATCACTAGTGGTTCATGTAGAATAAGTACATATAAGTCCTCCTAAGGGAATTGTTTTGAAGGACAACCCTTGTTTGTTCTGCCATGTTTGTTTAAAGAAGCTAATCACAGACGTGGATGCCTTCATGTATTTTATATAATAAATGAGTGTAATATGCTAGCCACCCCCTTCTCCTGCAAGGACAAATGAATGAATGCCACTGATGAGGAGACACCGTGAATTTGCCCTGGCCAGGGAAGGGAGGGAGTAGAAACTGAAGGCTGTGTTGACGCGACAGACCAAGTGAAGAGGTGATACAATCGCCCAGGGAGGAGGTGGGGGCCTCCACCTGCATTTGAGCATTGCCTAACTGCATGCCTTTCTGGACAAGCTCTGTGTTCAATCTTCCAGAGGATTCGGTCAACTGGGAAGAATGAGAGCAGTATGTTTTTTTAGATGGGAAATGAATTTCTGAGCTCGGTTCTCTGTCATTCATCTGCAAAACTCAACATGAAGGTCTAAGAGAGGGGAATCTGTCAGTTCGTGAATTATGTAAAAATGTACTTTTCACAAAAGTGGAGGGAGTGAGGTCACAGCAAACCTTCTACAAAAACTCGTAACAATTAATAGTTAAGCT